GTTTTGTGATGTAGGACAAAAACCTCCTCTAAAGGCAACCGAAGGCAGCCAAGATTGTTGCTGAGATCACGTTCTTTAAATATATTCTACTGATCCCAATTCAGGAAGGTACTTCAGTGTGCATGTAGACTGAAAGCTTACTAAATCAGTGCCACTATTATGGCTAACAGGATGATGACATAATACTGCTGAACGTAACAGCCTTTGCTTAAAAATATTATGTAATAAATGTTAGTATAAACTGCTGTAAAAACAGAAATCCTTGAAGGCATGCAGTTACTTCATACAAATATATGTAAACACAGAAGAGAACTCTCCTGGCAGTGGTTTGTGTTTTAGTGCGTGGCTCCACAGGGATTGACCGAAGTCTGACAACCTGTGTTATAACCTGTCACCTGAACCTTGAACAGTGTCCCATCTGCACACATGCAGAGCTTGAAACGCAGCCAGTTGCCATTATTAAACTGTTCCCCGTATGAAGAACTTGGCAGTCGCGATGGGCTGACCATCACAGTTCCATTCAGGATAATGCTGTTTTCCTATTAAGAGGGAGAAAAAAAACAGTACAACTTCCAATTTAAACAAGGCAGGTTGTTTTCAAACAGGACAAGCTGGGTTAGCAAGTAAATGACATCTTTAGGATAGCTGTAGAAATCATCAGAATAAAAAAAGTAGATAGGGCAACCTGCTCTAGGTGAACCTGCTTTAGCAGGAGTGTTGGACTAGATGATCTCCAGAGGTCCCTTCCAACCCTTACCACTCTGTGATTCTGTGACACGGTTTCACTTTTTAATTAAATTTGTGAATAATGCCCACGAATTTCTCAATTACAGTCAGCAATATACTTTGCTATTCCAGCAGTACATCGATATCAATATTGAGAGAGACAGCCGTAGTGTGGCTTTTCCCCTTACAGACCTAGTAGCAAATGCAGTACATCTAAAAATATGGATGTGAAATGGGAGTCAGTGTTTGAATTCATACATGAAATTCATTCACACATGAAATAAAAGTGTGTGCATCTATTTTTTTATCCTCCTTTAACCTCTTCCGTCATGCATCCTGTAATCTTAACAATCTCCAAAAATCTTAAATGAATGCTGGCGAATCTTACTGTGGCAGCACAGAAGGTAGTGCTCCCAACTGTACACTCTGCTCCTCTGTCAAAGGTTGCTGACCCCAGTAAAGCCTCCAGAAGAGAAGATGAGTTCCTTTTGATATTTGTTTCAGTGCAGAGACAAATAGCTTAGCTTTGATTGCATTGTGGGGTTTTAGCATCTTAATGGCAGTAAATAATTGTTATCTGAAAACTATTGAACCACCAATTAACAGCAAAGTAATAAATGACCTTTTAAAATCCTACTAAATACACTGACTGCCACCAAACTTTTATGCATGACTACTTTATATAAAATTTCATAGAATCATAGAACCGTCTAGGTTGGAAAAGACCTTTAAGATCATCAAGTCCAACCGTTAATCTAGCACAGCCATCCCACCACTAAACCACATCCCTAAGCACCTCATCTGCCCTTCTTTTAAATACCTCCAGGGATGGGGACTCGACCACCTCCCTGGGCAGCCCATTCCAGAGCCTGACAACCCTTTCGGTGAAGAAATTCTTCCTAATGTCTAGCCTAACCCTGCCCTGGCGCAACTTCAGACCATTTCCCCTCATCCTATCGTCCGTTACCAGGGAGAAGAGTTGAAACCATATAAAGCTACATCAGTTTATTATCAGCCTGAATGTGAAACTAAGCTGTTGAAAACATGCTGATTTGAAATACTTACTGCTTTAAGTTCCATGTTACCCCCCATTCGAAACTCAATGGTCTTGCCTGTGATGAAAACACCTTCATTTCCACGGACAATAGCACGGCCATCGACCTTTATGTTTAGATCACTGGTCGCATTGCTGGTAATCTAAGAACATTAAAAAAGTGTATTACAGTTGAATGAAAATGTGTCACTTGGGTTTGTCTGAGTAACTTTAATTACCTTAAAAATATTGCTATACAATTTAATAAAAAACTTCAATGTACTTTTTGCCCTTCTTCCATTATACCTATGACGCTTCTGCCCATTTGTTATTTTCCACATTCACATTTAAAAACAAGGATTACTTAATTTTGGAAGGTATTTAAAATAGTTTATTTTCGCGATAAAAATATCAATTCATATGACAATTTTATGGGATACACAGTTAACACTCATAGCAAATACAGGCTTCCCACTAGGACTGATTATGTAAACTTCTCTGTTTTCATTTAATGTGTTTCGCCTATGTATTTATAGGTTTGTGGTTTGTTTTTTTTTTGAAACATACTATTTAATTGATAGCCTCGCAGAGGAAACACAAATAAGAGCAAACTAAATTCTTTTCATCCTTAACAGGACCGATCAGTGCTTCCTAAGGCACACTCAACCCTCTATAAAACCACTGATACTACTCTGCTAATGTTACACAAAAGAACTATGCACTGTATTCTGTTTGTAAAGCCTTTACAACGTGTGATGATATACAAGAAAGAAATCTTAGTCTGACATTAAGATCAACACTGACATTTATGTTTGTTAGGTTTCTGATAAATAAAGCCTATTTAATGCAGAAACCAACCTAAGAACTTGTTTCACTTAGAAGCCATGAACTGACACAACTCCTATAATGCTGTGTGATTGCTCTCTGCGCTTTTACTCAGACTTCTGAAATTCTGATTGTATTGGTATTTACCTCCAGTAGAAGGAAAATGATACATTAAGATATGGTAATTATTTTTGTGAGATCTTAGTAGAAACAGAAAAGCTTTTCATAGAAATGGTATTTCTGAAACAGTTATCCATGCACAAATGGATAAATGCTTAATAAAAAGACACCCAGGTCTATCTGGCATGGTATTCCCAGTATTATACTCATTTAATGATGTCAGTTTTAATTCCCGTTCTAACTTTAGGGGTGATTTACATTTTCAGAGCTGCATTTTTAGCTACATTTAGTCGAATTTCTAAATATGCTTGAAAGATCAGTGAACTTTTTTTCTTATTCTATAACTAAGGCAATTCTGTAATGAGCTTTTACAAGAAGTAAGAGGTAGTTAAAAGAGACATACCCTTTCTGTAGAGGCCTTTTGTACATTCAAGATTTTAACTCCAGTTGGCAGATGAAACTCATGAGTTTCATAGTCTGTGCTGAACAAGGTATTTTGTGTCCGTGGGTCGACAAATTCCATGCCAATATCACTGGTAATAGAAGTTTTGTCTTTTTCCACGCTAAGCTTGGTTGTTCCTTGCTGAAATACAATCTTGAGAAACAAAAATAATAAAGTTAGTGATGTTTCAGATATAACATTTATTAATAATGTGAGTGTAATTCCATACTGTTGCTCTCAAACTTCCATAACGTAACTTACAGGCTGATTATTTCCAGTGATCACCAAATCTTCATTCCGTCTGCCTCCTACAGTGCTTTTATATAATGGATGTATAACGCCCATGTCAGAAACTTGCTTAAACCGCAACAAGCCACTCTCATGGAACTCCATACTGTCACAGCCATTGGGACCGATTCGAATCACTGCCCAGATAACCAGTGTAATCTGAAAGAGAAACACACATTTTCAAAGATTACTTTGATCATTCGGATCTTCCCACAACACGTACTGTATTAACTAGATGTTTTATTTGAAGTATATATTACTGCTAGTGTTTAAGGGAGCTTTAAGTGAGAATTTACTTCAGTCTGCTTAATTCCTACTGGAAACATCAGAACACATTTAATTATGAAAGCATTTTACATTATTTTTAGACTCATCTGAAATGGTAACTAAAATAATTTGTATATATATAAAATATATAGATTTTTGAAATTAAATCATATCCATAATTACATCTTTTTCCTGTTTAAGAGTAACTATGGTATCATTAACTAAACAAATTTCCTGCACAAAGTAACTCAGCTCAGGACATACTTACCCTTGAACTACAAGAAAACACCTTCACAGGTGGGTGTCCAATTATGAAAAAGAATTCATTACTTCTCATTGATCAAGCAATAAAAAGGTGGTAATTGCAACAACGAAGGTTTAAAGTGCAGTGGCTGATTAATTCTGAATGCCCACGTGCACCTCTGTTGTTACACGTAAAACGTTCTTGGCATTAACAGTTTATTCTGAATGCATTCATACTGCACTAATAACACTGCACACATTTGCTGTTACTGGGTTTTGGGAATGGAGAGACATTTTCAAGGTTCCTAATTCTGTGTTGCATAAATGGTAGGTTCCTTGCTGGGACCATGAGATAATCATGACTGAATTTATAAGATTCTTCCATCTAATCTTGCTCAGACTACAAAAGAACAAAAAAGAAAGGAGAAAAAAAAAGAGAAATCTCCTTCAGGGCAATTTAAGTCCTTCTTAGCCACACTGGAATAAATTTTAATTCTCTAATAAACCCTCAAAATGAAATACATCCTAATGTTGCTTACAGCCTAAGTACTATACTCACAATCAGATTGATGACGGCCAAAATAAAAAGAAGAACAATCACACAAATGGCCAAGTTGCCTTTCCTGCCACGTAACCCTGTCTTATGGAGACGGTCTTCATCAATTGGAATGTATCCTGCTTTAAAGTTACTGTTGTGCTCCTTATTAATGTTCCTGCGTTCCACGGCCTTCTCTCGCATAGACTTCTTCACCGGGCCGTTAGAACTTTGCTGTAATACAAACCAGAGATTAGCTATTATAAGGTATGTAAATCAGCCGAAATGACACACATATAGCATGCAAAAAATAAATTTCAATTGACTAGTAGAATATATTAGATATTATGTTCAATATTGTATCTCAGTCTGCCATTCTGTACTTAGAATACACATTTACAACCACTGCTATCTCTGCTAATGCGATGACTAAAATTTAAGTCCTGGTATTTGCAGACAATGCATGTTTTTATATCTTACTTTTATCATGGCAGATAGGAATTATTAATGACATTGTTGCAGGAAAGAATAACCAGCAGTAAATAAGTTTTTACCTCTTGGGGACGATACAGGACATAATCCTGCAGGTCATTTACCAATACACACAATTTTAGTTCCCTCCACGCTAATGCAGGATGGACTCTCAATGAGTCTATGCAAAAGGAGCGTGGTGGATACAGTTAAGTGAGTTCGGTAGCACAGGGTTTGCATGCAACTTCTACTGCTTGCATTAAGAAAAATACTATAAGGCTTCAAATCTGGCATGGGGAACCTGGCGAGCCTAGCTTTATTTCAATCATTTGTAGTTTCTAGATTGCAAGGGATATCCCATCAATGTAACAAATTAACAGGTAGAAGACACTCTTGGAGATATTCATAGGGAAAATAAACCTTTGATGTATTTTTGCAACTTTGTCCAAAATTTTGTTCCACCTCCCTTCAGTGGAAGAGGTTGCTATTTAAGGGTTCAATTCTTCAAAGAAGGGGCTTGATCTTCTTTCATGGGATTAAATTTTTTCATCTGAAGTGAATCTTGAAGCTGCACCTTGATCTTACTGTACTTGTATGTGTCTAATACTGACGTAACAGGTAAAAATGTCTTGGTTTTTTCTGCTGCTGAAGAACAAGAACATGGTGTTAAGAAAGGTGCTTAACCTGAACAGGTTTATGGAGGGCTTCCTCAGTGATGTTCTGGAAGCCACTCTAATCCTGCGCAAACTCAGAATTGACTAGGCCGGGAAACTGAGAGAAGTTGTCTGTGCTCTGGGAAAAAAGAAACGGAAATCTCGTACAATAGGCCAGTAAGTATCTTGTCCTGAGGGCAGCGTGTTCTTGAAAGGATGTGATGGCGAGATAAAAGTCCAACGTAGCTTTTCCACCTGGTAGGGCAGCACAACGGAACACAGCACCAGGACCGGGAGAACGTGGCTGTAACGGTGATTGCTGGCGCATCCTCGCAGAACCGGGCAGCGCTCCCTATGGCAGCCGAGACGAGGCTGGTACGGGACCCCTGAGGAACCAGGGCCTCCCTGCCCACCGCCGGCGCACACGCACAGGCACAGGCGCTCTCTGAAAGTCCCGGGGAGGCGCGGGAGCTCCCGGGAGAGGAGCCCTGGGGCAGCTCCCTGCTTTTCCCTCCGGCTTGCGCGGCGCTGAGAGCGCCCCGGTCCCACCCCTCCGGCGGGGTGACGGTGACAACCCTTCCGACAAATTTAGCTGTCGCTCCCGTGGGAGACCTCGGA